GCGGGTTTGGAAGGCACGAAGTGGGGCTGGGCCACCAGCAGCACCGCGCCCAGGAGCAGCGCGGCCATGCTGGACACCGCGGTGGCTTCACTGGGCCTCCGGCAGGGTCATGAAGCAGGGACAGTCAGTGGCACATGGGGGTCGCAGGCCGCCAGTTACTGGGGAGGAAAGAGGGGAAATAGCCCAAGATAAGTACAGGAGCTGGGCAGCTGTCGACCCCCACGCGTTCACCTCCCCCTGCCTGTCTTACTTTCCTTATTCTGTTCTCTAAAGCAGGGGGTGGCAGACACTCTCTTTTTGTTGTTTTGAGACAGGACCTCTCTTTGTAGCTCAGGCTGGCCTCCAACTCACGATTCGCCTGTCTCGGCCTCCCAAGTGCTGGGATTCATCCAGCCCAGTGGGACAAACACTCTCTATAAATGGCTAGAGAGTAAATATTTTAGGCTGAGAGGGACATATGGTCTCTATGGCAACTCCAGCTCCAACTGTGCTCATACAGATCTAACTCAGCCAGAGAAAATAGACAAAGGGGCGGGAGTGGTCATGTGACAATTAAACTTGGTTTACAGACCAGCCGTTTATATGTTTAGCTTTCCAGCCACACAGAAAGCCCCAGGTTTACTGGTCAGCCAGAGTATGCCAACCCCTGCTATAAAGAAAATAGTAGGTGAAGTCCTTTGGACCTTGGCAAGCATCCATGAAGTCTGGCAGTGCATAGGAGAGGGCCAGGTGACACAGGAGCTGGCTTAGTTTTGCTCTCCACTCCCCCTTAGGTGCTCCGGAACTAACAGGGCAGAAGAATCTGGAAGAGTGAATGGCTGGTTCCAGATCTTCATGCAGCACCCAGCCCTAGCCATGGCTCCTTTGGGGCAGCGTGCTTCCTAGCAACACAGTTTGGGTTCGGGCAGGACACGGGGGTCAATGTGCAGTGTGCCAGACCCAGCCTTGCTGCAAGAGGCCTTGAGCTCCTGCCTGTGCCGTCACCATGAGACCATACAGGGACATCTGCTGTCAGGGGGAGGAGGGAACCCATGTGCAGCAGAGCCTCCCAGACCAAGTCCTCCGCACGCAGCTCCAGAGGGAGAGCGCACCCCTGTGGCTTCCGAGGCTGAGTCTCAGTGTGGCTCACACTGCAGCCTGGGTTTTGCCAGTGTTGATAGATGCAACCTGACTACAGACAGCAGCAGGTTAGGGCATACACATACGGCTAGGGTACTATGAAGGCATTCCTTTGCCTGAGCAGATGGGGAAAGTCTTTGTGGTAGAAGACATGACTGAAGTGGGCCGAGAGAGAGTAAAAGGCTGAGGTCACCAGGCAGAGCAGAAGACCTTCTTGTGTGCGAAGCTTTACTCTCTACAGTCTGGCTCCTATTTGCTCTCTTGATTATCAGCACAGCCCTGCACTGTACAGCAGGGAGAGAGGAGAGCAAAGGTCCCCACTCGATAGAGGACCGTCTTACCTAAGGACAAGCATTCAGTCCATTTTAGACTTCAGATCTCCAGATCAAAACTGGAAAGGCAAGGCTGTCTTTCCACACTTCCTCCCTTCTACCAAACCTCTGAAATTGACCACACTTAGATGATAAAGACCTTCAAGAAAGCTGACACTGATATCCATGCTTCCCAAAGACAGAGACATCGCTGATGCCTTCTAGGAGGGGTACTCAACCTGTGCATGGCGTTCTCTCTCAAGGAGGGGCCAGGAGGCCCTTGTGGGAGCTGCGCCTGCCTGGACACATTAAGGGGAGGGCTGCAGACATGCCTGCATGGGGACAGTGAGGGTCACGAAGCCAGGAAAAGCCTTCCCCACCCAGAGGACTCATTATCTTTTTCATGACAGGTTTAAAATTTATCCTTGAGTTTAAGACTTGTCCAGAAATGTGTACACAAAGTACAAACTCCAGGGCTTCCATATTGGATTGTCTGCTTCCAAAAATGTAAATTAAAAAGCAAGCAATTAACCAGATGGATACCTCGTGAGCGCCACAGTGTACCAGGACAGAGGGCCTGGCGAATCAGGGATGACATTCCTTTGCGGGGAACAGTATTTTAAGACTGGCCAAGAAAGCTGTGGCTTCGGGTCAGTTCTGCCCAATGTAAGGGTCAACTGTTTTCTAAAGCAAGTTTCAGAACGTTTCAGTCAAGTTTCATTTCTTCCCGAGATGCTCATTTGCATTGACTAAGCGGCTGGTGGGACTTCACTCCCACACTGTGCGGTGTGTGTGCGCATGCGTCTGTCTCCACGGTGCACATGCGTTGTGTTGACGGACGAAGGAGGGAGGCACCGGCTACATCCGGAGCACTTGGGAAACGATAACCACCTCATGCGGTCAGCGTCTAAATGACAGAGGCAGAGGCCAGGCCGGACATGCATATCGCCCTGCTGTTCTACTCCTTAAACTTCAACATGAAGAAGGCAGGTATCAGCAGTGCATGTCTGAGATTTCTCCCGAATGGCGAATTAGGAACAGACAGAAGAGAAGAAACTAAATATAGTTTATCCTTTACCACCAAAAAAAGAAGGAAGGAAAAAGAAACTGGGAAGTTAGGAGTTTAAATTCCTTCCTTCTATTTTAATACTTTCCCAAAATAAATTTACTGATGTCTAAACCTTTTTCATTCCCAAAACATTTGAGGTATGTGGGGAAAAATTAGCTGGGCACACATGACATATTTTCCTGTATACACTGTGTGCATATGTAAATATATATAACACACCGTAAATTCCTTCCTTATTTTAATACTTTCCCAAAATAAATTTACTGATGTCTAAACCTTTTTCATTCCCAAAACATTTGAGGTATGTGGGGAAAAATTAGCTGGGCACACATGACATATTTTCCTGTATACACTGTGTGCATATGTAAATATATATAACACACCGTATGTTAACATATGCAGTATATTAACATATTTGGTATAATGTACACATACGCAGTGGCCTTTGGGAGCCAACTTTCTGATAATCTGGACTTCCTGGTGGTACAGCCAGAATGTCTAGGCCTTTTAGTAGGAAAGAAAAGATCACCACGTTTACATGAATTTATAAGCCAGTCATCAGGGCCACCTTGACCTTAACAATGGGCCTGGAAGCATCAGAGTGCCGGACAGCCCTGGCCTTCCCCTACCTGGGGAGGAAACCCTGAGATTTCCCCACAGCTGGACCGGAACTCCGGCCTGCACCCTGGATTGTGAGGAAGTGGTCTTAGTGTAAATAACAGTATTGTGGGTTTCCAAAGAAAAAAGAGCCAGAAAACCGTCCAGCAGCGACAGATCCTTGGCCACCAACTCCAGGAGGAGCTGGCATACCAGTGTGTGCAGCACGGTGCCCGTGTCCCTCTTCACTTCTGTGCAGTAGACAGGTCAGACTCTGCTGCACCCGTATGGTGGGCCAGTTCTACTCCCAGTGCTGAACTTTAGCCAAGTGACAGAGCCTCTCTGAGCCTCAGTTTACCAGTCTATAAAGTGGCAATCACCTGCCTCAAAGACTGTCTCAGAGACTGAAAGGAGATGGTATGTATGGAGGTTGTCCAACAGATAAAGAATGTGAGCAGGTGGGAATTTTCCAGGAGTCACATTAAAAAAGCATGTAACCCAATATATCCAAACTCCGTTGTTCTAACCGATAGTCAATATATGAAATTATTGAGATATCTGGCATTGTACTAGGCCTAGGAAATCTAGCACTGTATGAGTATACTTCTCCTTTCAGCATGTACTCCCCCATCCCTGTGTGGCCTGTGGCCACTCAGGTGGTCAGTACTGAGAGATGGCACTGAGCAGAGTTGCAATCTTTCATTTGAAAGCCCCATTTAAATTTTTTAAATTTTGTATTTATTTTGCAGTGCTGGGGAATTGAACTCCAGCGCAAATTGAGCCCAGGACTTTCACACTGAGCTGCATTCTTACATTCCCAGTGTTTGTTTCAAGATAGGGCCCAGGTTAGGCTCTAATTTAGGGTCCTCCTTCTGCCTCAGCCTCCCAGAGAGTTGGGATTTCAGAAGAGCACCTGTGTCCAGCTCTGAAAGCTCTTTCAATGTGGAAAGCTCTCTACATCAAGAATCCTTCCCCACCCACAGGAGAAGAGGAGTGTCTGAGCAGGAAAAGGGCCAGGGAGGCCAGTTTGAACCTGCAGGTAGTGCAAATACACTCTACTCCCCCTCACAGGAAATTCCTTGTTCTCCCACAGGAAATGAGCCAGATGATGCTGAACACGTGGAAGTGTAGACCCACAGCCGTCAAGGCCATGGACATGGAGTGCTCTCCAGTGTCCGCTGTGGCAGGCTTATTCCTTGGCAGGATCAATGACTGCTCCCTTCTCTCATGCCTGCTGCTCCACACACCAAGCTGCCCGCTCTCCTCAGAACTATGAGCTACAGGAAAGGCAGGCTCGAGGGAATGCAGTGCTGCCTCTGGAAAACTAGAAGCAGCGAGAGGAGACAAACTCAGTCTGAGTAGGCAGAGCCATGCCCTTCACTTTCCTCTTTGGCAAAGCCGGGGGTTTCTGTGCAAGTTGTCACCAGGCCCTGTAGGCTGATTCTTAACCAAGACTACTTTGTCTCATTTTTGGTAACTGGGCCCCTTGGTCTGATTCTTCTGCTCTGTTGGACATTCACTCCTGGTACCAATTCTTGGACAAGGGCACAGAATTTCTCTGAAGGCCCAGGCCCATTTTGCTAGCAGGAGCAAAATGAACACTCTTTCCTTTTGTAGAAGGGCTAATAGGTTCCAAAGGGAGATCTAACCACTTCTTTAGCACTGCAAGGCCAAACCAAGGCAGAGTCCCACAAATTCAAGACAGGAGTTCTCTCAGTCTGTGTCAGTGACAGTGGGTTTCCTTGGGCCCCACTAAAGAGTTGTCGACACACGCCAGGCAAAAAAGCCCAAGGGGCAAACCATAGACTTTTCCAGATGGAAGCTGCTCTTAAGTGGGGAATTAAACACAAACTCCTTTCCAGGCTGGGGAAACCCACCTGCCCCTTGTGCCTTAGGCGTTTCACCAGCCACGCTCAGCCTCTCTGGTTTTTCTGTCCCTTCATACACTCCAGGATCACCCCAGCTCTGTGCCTCCTCAGCATTGCTGCTTTCTCTTTCCAGGAGGCTGTGCCCTAGGGTTTCTGAGGCTGACTCTTGTCATTCCGATGTTAATTTCAAATAC